GACCCAGATGAGCAGGGTGAGTCAGGGACAGTTGCTCGCGTGCGATTTCGCGGTCCGCGATTCTTCGGTTTCGCTCGCTCACGGTCTAGTAGGTAGGGCTCAAGCTTGCGCATAGGGTTCACCCAAGCCAATGGTTGTATTTTTCCTTTTTTTTTTTATTTTTGTTGTTTTTTAAGTGTTGGAAATTCTAGCACTGAGAAGAAACAAAAAATTATTGAACTGTTTGCAATTAAGAAAGAGTTGAATTTGTTGACGGAGATGGTTTTACGTTCTTATGCTTCTACGAGGAAGTTGCTTTGTTTTGGAAAATATGATATAGCAAAGCTTTTAACAAAAATGGACAAATTATAAGACCCACTACGTGGATTAGAAATAAATATTTATTAAATGTTTGATATTTTGATTTAATTATAAATAAAAATAATATTTTAAAATATTTTTTAATTATGTAAAAAATAAATAATTTTTTATTATATTTAATTAAATTTTTATATTTTTATTTTATATTAAATAAGTTTTTATTATTAACATATAAAGTAAAAATATCACATGATTATATCATTTGATATATTAATATGTCATGTTAACATCATGTGATATAAAATAATAAATAATTTTTTTATTAATGATATTTAATTAATTATAAAAAATTTATTTAATTTAAAATAAAATTAAAAAACCTTAATTGAACACAATAGAACAATAATGATTTATTTAAATTTTCTTAAATAGTTTAAAATTTTTTTTAAGTATTATGATTCATAAATAAGGGTTTTTATATTTTGAATCTTTTTAATAAAAATTTTAAATAGATACTAAAAAAGTAAGATTTTTGTTATACAACAAGCAACCATTCATAATATTTGAGAACACATATTTCTCAACTTTATTAAATATTCTTTATGTTACTATTATTATGTCATTTTTTGCTTCTATGGTAGTATTAGAGAAAAAAATTATTCTCCTTGTCTCATTTCATTATTTTCAATTTAATTACAAATTTGTCTAAAAATTTGATTTTATAGTATATATTGAAATTTTTAAAATGTCTATAAAATTGATGTTTCATATAATTTTAATAGCAAAAAGTGAAAAAGATAATGAAAAAAAAATTTGAAATATAAAAAAAGTAAGAATATTAAGTATTGAAAAACATAAACACCCAAGTATTTGACTCATTAATTAGTGCATGATCTTATTCTCAAAAAGAATAAAGTTCAAATATTTTTTTTTCAAATATAAAAAAAATATTAAAAAAACATGAAACTTATGTCATATTCTTTATGAATTTTGTTCCTTTTTTTGTTCTCTTAATAATTTCCTTACAAAAGTTGTGGTAATTTGAAATAATTAGAAAAAGAAAAACCCTCAAATACAAACATTTTTGTCAATCTCCTTTTGATTTTTCTTTTTAAGAAAAAAAATATTGCAACACTTCAAAGTAGTAAAGGAAACTGGCTAGTGTTTATAGTATACTAATTCTTTATTACTATTTTTTAAAAAATGACAGGATGAATAAGACATATTACCTTGATGTTAACTTTAGTGTGAGAAACTAATGAACATATTAAATACACTAACATGCTAATATAAAATTAAATCAAACTCTTACACGATAAGCTTTAATTTAAAACTTAAAAATTTTAGACATGCACTTCTTTATCATTGAAATAATACCGCATCAATAATTACCTTATTAAATTAGTTAAAATCATGACCGATAAGACGTACAATAACATATTATTCAACAAATAATTTCATTCTTATTTGTCATCAAATTTGTCAAAGGAAGCCAAATTACTTAAGGTGATAAAAAAAAAATATTAGTGTCATGTGTTATAAGCTATGAAAGTCAATAAAGTATAAAATTATCTATAGAAATTCCTAAATTATCACTTTCTTTTAAAATCTAATGGAATGGTGATGAAGAACAATCCATAAAGTTTTTGTGGGGCCAATTAATAGAAACATAGGGCAGCAGGATGATAATGAAAAACATGGGATGAAAATGATTCCATTAATTACAAGCTTTAATGCCTGACTCAGAGAGGGTCTCTGGCAGCAAATAAATTCCGTGCATTGCGTTAACCGTTATAAGTGACATTAATTAATTAATTAAAATTATCTGTAGGTTATGTATCTTCGGTCGTAAGTTAGGGTGACATGTACTTGTAGGGTAGTCTTAATCTGACACCAAGTGCTAATACAAATGACTTTTGAAAAAAAAAATACTGAATTTAGGAGTAGTGTGCTAAAATGGGAATTCCTTGTATTGCAAAGTTAAAATAATTATATTAATTATTTAATTATAGTCATTATATAATATTATTATAAATTAAAATATTTAATTAGAATTATATTCCAATACTGTTCTATAGTCATAATTAGATTATTAATAAAATTAGTCTTATATATAATTTAATTTTTTTTGTAATATAAACAATTTTATAATATAAGAATTCGTTTTTTGCAATAAATATAGATATTTACAAGATTTCTTTTCTTATAAATATATATATATTGATTATTGTGAAATTGTAGAGGGAGAGAATTATTGTTTAAAATTTATAATATTTATCCGAATCTTTTTTTATTTTTATCACAAGTTCAAAGGTAAAATTATTTTTGCCTCTAGAGGCCCCATTGGAATTGTTTATAAATCAAAGAATTAATTTGAGGTTTTCCTTAGAAGATTTGAGTGATTCGTGTCCTTGGAGAGCCCTACCATGATTGTACATGTTGTCGAGATCAACTTACAGACAAGGCAAGACAAACTATTAGTTGTTGTGACATTATATATGTAGGTTATATTTGGTATATAGCTAGGTTAAGATGACATTAAATTCATAAGTAAATTGCCTTCATATATTTTATCTTAATTTATTTTTTATATTCATTGTAATGTATAAGACAAAACAAAAATTTAAATATTAAATCATCAACCATTCTAAAGAATATCATTCTAACAATGATGGTAACAATGAGGACATTCCCTATGTCAAATTGGAAGTTAAAAAGAGTGTATACGGATTGAATAATATTGAAATGGGCGAGGACGGAGTCCAGAAGGTGATGGGTGGTGACGGTCACACTTGATCCTCACATAAATTAAACGAAAATTTATGATTTTAATTATTATATTTTTATGTTAAAATTTTAATTTTTTTTCATCATATTAATGTTGCATGATTCTTAAATCTCTAAAAGATTTTAAAAAAAATATTTCTAAAATATAGAAATTAAAATCATAAAAAAATCTGAACAATTAAAAGAAAAGAAAAAGCATCGGGTCACAATTCAGAGATGAGGCCTTGAGCGGAAACAAGGATACCCAGTTCTTAGACGGGTATTAAATTTATCAGTTGCTTATGTCTAGTCGGTCATGGTTTTAGGTGGCTGGTAGGTAAGGCTCGAGAAAAGCTCAAGTGCGGGTGAAGGCTTGATATTGTACCGTAGGAGGCCACCATTAATGAGAAATTTGTCCACCTTGAAATAGGTCATGTTTTCTTAGGTACACTTTCAATAGTGTTGGTGTTATGTCATTTCGTAACGGAGAAAGAAGATAATAATATAGAGTGCTTCGACTTAGTATTTGGTCCAATAATAAAATGAATATAGTGTATGTACTTTTATTTGGATATTTTAAATGTAAAAAATTGAATATGAAAGAAAATTGTCTTGGTATCTTTATTTCATTATGATATATTTGTAATATAAAGATTAATTGATAAGATTAATTTCAAATACGAATAGTTATAGATGAGATAATTATCAAAATTATACTTTAAATAAAAATTTTCTCATCTTTTGATTTGAATTAGTCATCCTTGGTGCTTCCTTCTTGTTCTCGGATTGAGTTTTTGTCTTAATATTCAAAAAGTTTAAAGCTTATTTGCATGTTGAATCGATACTTCGATGCTTAGAGTAATCGAGAAACACACAAGTTATAGGTTGTTTTGAAGTTTTTGTATGTTATAAGATTTAAGTCGTGGATAACATAAACATTTAAAGATTTTGAGTTTAATATAGTTAGGTTCCTTATTAAAAGGTAATTCATAAGGACTTTTGTTTCTAATGACAATAGATGGCAATCTATTGAGTAAATATGATGCATTTAAAAAAGCATAAGGCCAATATGACAAGGGCATGGATGCATGATGCTGTAAAGTAAGTCCCATTTCTATTTACCTTCAATAATTGCACCTCCATAATCAAAATATAAATTAACAATGAAAGTTTTAAAATAACCACACAATAATTTTAGAATAATCTAAGAAAATTTAAATAAGTTATTTGTTTTATTATGTTCAATCAAATTCTTATATTTTTACCAAATTAGCCCTTATAATTAGTGGTGAACTAATTATCTTTAATCAAAATATTATTTATCATTTTATGCCATATAGTGTTGATGTGGTATGTTAACATGTTATAGTGGATGGTGATATGATATGTTAATATGTTATGATGACATGACCCATTCTATGTCAATATTATGTCAATGTTACGTGAACATAAAATGATAAGTGATGTTTTGATGAATAGCAGTTAGTCAACTGTTAGTTATAAAGACCTATTTGACCAAAAATAAAAATGCATAGACTTAATTGAAGGCAATAAAAGAATAAATGTTTATTTAAATTTTCTTAAATAATTTAAGTGTTTCTTTGTAAAGCATTATACCTTTTCAACCATACTCTTAAATTTAGAAAATAGAGAAAGTACGTCAAATTTAAAATTTAGTAGAAGGAATTGTTTGGATATAGTGATTCAGTTTCATGTAGCCTTTCTAGTTGTTAGTTGTCAATTTTTTTATCAGAAAGATACCTCTATACTTTAAATTTGATCCAACCTTTTAAATTTAATTATTATTATCTTATACATTGACGTTGGAATTTAAATTATTCTGTCAAGTTTAGCCCATATATTTAGTTGAGAAAAAAGGTTTAGGATAACATCTCATTTCTTTCTTCTTTTAGAAGTTATAATCTTTGTAATTATTAAGAAATTATATATATAAATATATCTTCCAAATAAAAAAATATAACTTATTCCGTTATGGTATTATGAAATATTTACTACATGCATTCCGTCAAATTAATTTTAACTAGTAAGCTATGTATTTGAGGAGTTATTGGAAAGATACATATGATTAATTATCGAACTTCAAATCTTCACTCATATTTGTTAAAAAATAAAAAAAAATTTCCTGTAGCTTAAAAGAAATTTAAAAAGGTTTTATGCATGTAAATATCTATGTCCTATAGGAAATATACTTCAAGAAGGTTGCACGAACAATTCAATCTCTATTTGTTGATTTTGGTGATCAGTAAAATTTATTGGTTAATAAGAAAAAACTTTCTCTAAATAATATGTTTTTATTTGTACCAATATATATTTATAAATTATTTTTATTACCAAAGATTTCTAATGTGTAGAGGTGGATCTTAATGCCAAAATTTTTGGAAATTTTATATTCATATGTTTTTTTTTCATTAAATAAATTAGATAGATGCCCTTAAACTCAGAAGTATTTCTTTATTTTTATAATGGTTCACAATTATTAAATGTGTAGTAACAAAAAAAATTAAACGTAAAAATTACTAATATTTATTAAAAAAATGTAAATAATTTACAAATCCTATTGCATGAAGAATTCTAGCGTTGCCGCCATTGCCCCATTATAAATTTGACTCTTGACTGGCATGTCCTATCAGATTGTTTCTTCTCAAAATTTCTCTAATGGCTTCCGTTTACAAGTGCGATAACTTATTCTACTACGTTTTTCAACCCCCGAATATTGCACCAGAACCCCATGACCCAACTCCCCTTTTCGTTCAACTTGAAGTAACCATCACCCTTGAACTCGATTTCAGCCGCCATTATTGCTCAATCGACCGCTTCACTTACCCCAACGCCGAACCTTTCTTCTTCCAAGAAACCATTCGTTTCGACCTCCACATTGTGAAAGACCACGACTGGGTTACACAAATTCTTGGTTCCATGCTGACAAGAGTGGGAATCAATCCTTGCTCTCTTGTGTTTGACAATGTCCTTGGTGAACTTATCGAACTTGGACTTAGACTCTCAAACTGTACGTCCAGTATGGGTTGTATAGTCTTGCCATTACATGCAGAGTTATGGGGAATACTTGTGGAACATGTAGACGAGGAGGTGTCGATCACAAGAGCTTTGGCGGAATCGAAATCGGAGTTTGAAACGAGTGGTTCAGGAGAAGGAGTCATAGGTTTAGAAGACGCTCGAGTCGAAGGTGGAGATCAGTGCGATCAAGAGGGTGAAGAAAGTATCAAGATCAAACGGTCTGTGCATGGCAGTGATTAGCATCAACCACCTGTCTAGGGGCAGCAAGGTAACATGGGGAGTGGTTCTCAGGCTGCTGTGTGAAGCCGCTGATGCAGGTCTGTGAGTCTGGTTTCTGCAAGGACAGCATGTGTTTGAGTGGAATCAGTGTTATGCAGTTTCAATTGCTGAATGTGGCTCGTTGGAGGGTCTGTTGGCTCGACTTTACCCTCCTGGATGCTGCTTTTTAGCCCTTTTTATGCAGGCTTGAGGTTTTTTTTGTAGATGTCTTGAGTTTATATGTTGTACAGGGTTTTTATGAAGGTCTGGTTGCAATGGGATGTTCACGGGGTGGTTTCAGAACATATGGCTGATTTGTACTAGGCACCGGTTTTGATCCCAGGTGCAACCAGAAAGTTTTCTTTTGGTTAGAGCCTTCGTACGCAGATCAAGCTTTGGATGGGGTTCTGTCCTTCCTATCTCGGTTCTGCACCGCTACCGTTATTGATGTGTAGCTTTGAATATCAGCTTAAGACATGGTTTAATCAACTCGGAGGTTGAATCTTGTAAAACAAGAAGCAATGACTTAGTTTACATTAATTAAACTGATCAATAAAGCCTAGGATAATTATTAAATAATGCTTGTAAAATAATGTTAAATTAGTTGCATTTGCAGAATTTTACCAATGGATTCATAAGATAATATTCTTGGAACTATTAACATGATGGAACAATATCAATAAATTAATCACCTCTGAACATATATTGATAACCTAACCAAGCCACTTAAGTCTCTACAACTCAAGCCACTTGTCATGGAATGGCCTGTCCTTCATGTTAATGCTAGAGGCATGAGGTTTTCGAAGAAAGGCTAAGAAACTGAAGTGCTGGCTGTGTCTTGAGCTTTTAATACAGATGATTTCTGGGCATGGGATCTGTAATTGATTGAGAGTATTGCTGCTGTTTTTGACTGGTTTGTATAGAAAAGATGTGGTTCGGTTGCAGTGAGATGGTCATAACCTGTTTCTCAGATTCTTTTTGTTATGGCTAGGAGCAGGCACTCTGATTCTAGGGGCTATGCTTGATCCTATTGCCAACCGAATGTCATTCCTTTTCTTTATACGCAGGGGAAGCCATGGCAGGGGCCTTATGTCCTGCAATGTGCTCTCTGCATTAGTACCACATGTGGTAGTTTTTGTACAATTTTCCAGTAATGAATCATTCCTTGATGCTTTTCAAAAAAAGTAGCAACAAGCTTCCAGCTCTTTCGTATTCTCCAGCTGTTTCACAGGTCCTGCAATGGCTTAGTTTGAGCTGACTCCTTCCGGTGTGGCCAGTAAATAACCAATTGATATACTTGGAAAATAATTATGGTGAAAGGGAGAAATTCATATTTTTGCTTTACTAGTTGCAAATCGTTGGTAATCCTATGTGTCCCTAATTGAAATACTTTTAAGTTTGAATTGGAATCTTCTCTCTCTCCGAATAAAAATAGGACAAAAGAACTAAAGGAGAAAGAGAAGTCCAAAAACTTGGTAGAAGAAAACAAAACAAAAGGGAAAAATATCCCAAAAGTTAAGTTACAATTGTGGCACCTTATCTATAAACTATATGCAAAGCTGAAGGACTCTGGTTCGACATATCCGGGTCTATCATCCATGCTGAAGAACATAGGAAAATGGGCTATGCTATCCTCACCTTCGAAGCTACCCATCCCCCCTAAGGCTCGAAACTCTTCAAAAACTGATCATGTGGCCACTGTCCCCACCGTTAAAGCTTTTAAAGTGATCAGCAATCAAAGAGCTTTGCAAACTTGTTGTAGTGCAAGGAGAAGAGCAGCGAGATATGATGACGAAGACGATGATGAAATTGGTGAAGAAGAACATGGCTACAATGAAGAGATTGCAATACTTGAGTTGTACAGTCAGTCTGTTAGAGGGGAAGCTTTTCTTGTTCATGCCCTCGTGGATGAACAAGAAGTAGAAGTCCTTATCTTCAAGGTCAGTTTATATCCTTTTCTTTTATTATATATGTTATCTCTTTGCTTTCAACTTTCAAAGCTTTTCTCATTGTTTTACTCAAAAGTTTACCATAATTCAGGGGTTCTCCTCATGTTTGAGCTATGGGACTTCACCAGATCCATCAAGGAGTGTAATTCCAGCCAGAGCAGTGATAAAGTGCATAGACAGAATCAAAGGTCCTTTTGATCCTTCCAGCATAGAGTACATTGAGAAAGGTCTTGAATGGGAATCCTTTAAGACCCGCCTAGCCCCTACTAAGCAGAAAAATGAGGGATCTTGATCCTGTTCAGCATTTTGGAGACATTGTTCTCACTATTTTGACAGCAATTTCCAAGGCATTTCTGCCACATGTAAAATCAGTTTCATCCGCATGAAACGGAGAGTCATGCTCTTCATTTTCTTCACTTTGCTTCAACCTAAGCAATTTGTTCTCTATAACTTGATTAAATTTGAGGGGCCTGAGCATATATAAAGGCTACAATACATATGCTTAAGATCTACTAGATATAGTAGTTTGGAAACAGGGATATCATAATCAGAGAGTAACCAAAAATTTCCAATAATTGACATTGAGCAACTGATATATGCACCATCTATATAATTGTGGCTAATTTAACATTTTCCAGCACCAACCACATTGTAAGAAAACACATCCAGATTACAAAAAAGAAAAACTGCCCACAAATCTTTTTGCAGCTTAATTTCTCTTGTATCTCGTCAATGAAACACGATTAAAGAATATAATCTCAGATGAACTGAAAAATATATAACTTTTCTTATTTTACTTATTCTTTCATGTTTTCTTTTACATGTACTAGTTTAATTTTCTATTAAGCCCTTAATACATAAATCTATTCTTCTTTTATTTAAAAACTTTAATTGATTGTTCACGAAACAAAGTTATTTGAATTTAAATATCTCTGTTCTTTCTTTTTTTTAGTAGTTCTTGTCTTTCAGGTTATTGAAAATTTTTATATAATTTTAACTTTCCCGATTATGATATTATTAAACATCTACAAAATGCACTCAACCAAATTAATTTTGCCTAAAAAGTGATTGTTATTTCAGGAGTTATCCGACAAATAAGTATCATTGATTAAACAATTTTGAATCTTTGCTGATAGTTTTTAAAAAGAAAAAGAAAATACCTTTTTCTGTAGATTAAAAGAAATTTAAAAAGGTTTTTTGCATGAAAATAATGATGAATTTACTACCCCTATTAGAAATAGAATTCCAGAGTTTACCATCATTGCCCCATTATAAATTCGACTCTTAACTGGGATATCCTATCTTCTCAGAATTTCTCTAATGGCTTCCTTTTGCCACTGCGAAGGCTTCTACGTCCAGGTTTTCCAACCCCCGAATATTGTACCAGAACCCCATGTCCCAACTCCCCTTTTCGTTCAACTCGAAGTAACCATCATTCTTGAACTCAGTCGCATCCTGCATTATTGCTCAATCGACTACTTCACAGATAGCTCTGACACTGAACCTTTCTTAGCCCAAGAAATCCTTCGTTTCGACCTCCACGTTGTGAAAGACCGGCAGCGGGTTACTGAAATTCTCGGTTCCATGCTAACAAGACTAGGAATCAACCCTTACTCTCTTGTGTTTAACGTTGCCATTGGTAAACTTATCAAACATGGACTTAGACTCTCAAACTGTACGTCCAGCATGGGACGTATAGTCTTGCCACTACATGCAAAGTTATGGGGAACACTTGTGGAACATGTAAACCACGACCAGGGGGATCCGATCACAACAGCTTTCGCGGAATCAGCATTGGAGTTTGAAACGAGTAATTGTGGCATGCTTCCGGCGAAGGAGTCATCGATTAAGAAGATGCTGAAGAGGGTTAGAGTCGAAGGTGGAGAAAGTGCTGTAAAAGATCAAGATTGCAAGATATGTTCGGAGGAATTTGAGGTTGGATCAGTTGCTTCTGAGATGCCCTGTTTCCACACTTTTCATGAGGACTGCATTGAAACGTGGTTGAAGCAGAGCAATTGCTGTCCTATTTGCCGGTTCGAGTTGCCGACTTGAAGAGTTAATTAAAGCTTTCTCTTTTGGCCTCTTAATTAGTTGAAGATAAAACTCTTCCAAGTTTTTGGATGACTTGTAAATTGCTTTGAAAGAATTTATGTTAGTAAATAAATTGTAAGATTAATTCATCACTTTTTGTTGTTTCATTGATTTTGGTTTGTTTTTTTAGTTGTTCTGTTTCTCGTCGTTTTCAGTTTTACTGAAATTTCTGTTTATAATTTTTCTGATGCAATTTATAATATGGTTGGTTTATTTCTCATTCTTTTTCATTGTTTTTATGTGTTTATTATTTATTTATTTTAGTTAATATGTTTAATTGTGGTCTGTTAGGATTTCTTTTTATTTCTCTGATGAATTACTAAAATTATCCAAATTTCAGTTAGATTCTTCACGAATATCAGTATAAGATATGGTCTAATCTATGGAAATTCAGTGATAGATTGAGATAAGAAGATCAGGGAGTGCAGAACACTAAGAATTTTGTATTGTTCTTGTTGCTTGAGAACTTAGAGAGTTATCACCTTCATATACAGTGCAAAATCTATCAAATATGGGAAGTTTTTCCAAGGGTAACAAGAGTATTACAGCATCTTGCTGTCGCATAGTCCTCAGGGGGGG